AATTAAGCAATAAGGTTCCTGTTCAGAAATTTTGGTAGAGCCTCTTCTAACCTGTTGACACCGATGTCCAGCGAGTTAAGCTCGGTTAATCAAGTTCACCTATTCACAAGTGCATGTTCCATGATATACATCAGTTACCTCCATTTCAGATTATCACATTTAAAACACTGCCATTTGGAAGGGCAAAGAGGAGAGAGAGGATGATGGAGGTTTACATATTAAGAATGAGACATAGAGAAAACAATTGCTGATCATTTCAGCTTTTCCAATGCCATTGTGATGTTTTGCGCTTCAAAATGCGTGCACTTATCATTTAGATCTACTCTAGAGTTCTCCAATAATGAAGTAATATCTTTCTACAATAGGATGTGAGTAATGTGAACTGAGAGGTATAAGGTAACATTCTCCTTTCATTTAATAACCAACTTCATCCTGCTCTCTTGCCACAAGTTGAGGCCTACATAGATTGTTCACAGCATAACTTCCTATTTGACACTGCACTACTAATGCCATATTCTTTTCATTAACAACCACCTAACTCCAAAACATCATGTGTTTTTGTCACCTCAGCAGCTAAAATTCTCACCTATGCCTTTTATCTCTGGATGTGACTGTTCCAGTGGTCTTTATCACTCTGTTCACCCATTATTCCTGTGTTTAGTCCTGCATTGAGTCATAGAGTCGTACAGTAATACAGCATGGAAACAGGCCCTTTGGCCCAAACTGGTCCATGCTGACCATGGTGCCCATTCAGCTAGTTTCAATTGCCTGCATTTGGTCCATATCCCTCTAAACTCTTCCCATCCACGTACCTATCCATCTGTTTTTTGGATGCTGCTATTGTTCCTGCCTAAACCGCTTTCTCTGGCAGCCCATTCCATATACGCACCACTCTCTGCATGAAGAAGTCGCCCCTCAGGTCGGTCTTAAAATCTTTCCCTTCTCACCTTAAACCTATGCTCTCTAGTTTTCAATTCCTCATCCCTGAGGGAAAAAACTATATGCATTCATCCTATCTATGCCCCTCATGATTTTATGCACCTCATAAGGTCACCCTTTATTCTCCTATGTTCCAAGGAATAAAGTCCTATCCTGGCTAACCTCTCCCTATAACTGAGGCCTACTAGTCCTGGCAGCATCCTTGTAAATCATCTTTGCACACTTTCCAGTTTAACTATGTCTTTCCTACAACAGGGTGACCAAAATTGTACACAATATTCCAAGTGTGACTCACCAATGACTTATACAACTGTAACATAACATCCCAATTCCTCTGCTCAGTGCCTCAACTGATGAAGGACAGCATGCTAAATACCTTCTTCACCATCCTGTCCGCCTGTGATGCTGCTTTCTATGAACAATGCATTTGTACTCCTAGGTCCCTCTGTTCCACATACTCCTCAGGACCTTCTCATTTACTGTATATGTCATACTTTGGTTTGACTTTCCAAAGTGCAACACCTCACATTTATCTGTATTGAATTTCATTTGCCAATCCTCAGCCTACTTCCCTATCTGATCAATATCCCTCTGTAATTTTTGATATCCTTCCTCACTGTCAACATTACCTCCTAATTTTGTATTATCTGCAAACTTACTAATCATGCCTTGTACATTCACATCCAGATCATTTAGGTAAATAACAAAGGTGCCAACACTGACCCTTGTGCCACACCGCTAGTCGCAGGCCTCCAGTCCAAGAAACAACCTTCAAGCATCACCCTCTGCTTCCTACCATTGAGCCAATTTTTGAATCCAATTAGCTAGCTCTCCCTGGATTCCATGCAGTTAACTTTCATGACTAGCCTGCCATGCAGGACCTTGTCAAGGCCTTACTAAAGTCCATGTAGACAACATCCACTGCCCTACCCTCATCTTTCCTCTTGGTTACCTCTTCGAAAAACTGCAAAAGATTTGTCATTCTGCTATTGGTGGCTATATCAGCTTCTAAGCTCTGGATTCTCCGTTTTACCACATAACCAATAAAGGAATTAAGGGATACGGTGAGAACGCAGGTAAGTGGATCTGAGTCCATGAAAGGATCAGCCATGATCTTATTGAATGGCGGAGCAGGCTCAAGGGCCAGACGGCCTACTCCTGCTCCTAGTTCTTATGTTGTTATGTTCTAACGTTTTCACCTCTATAGCCGTTTTACTATTTCAACCTGTTTCTTTGTTTGTCTTAATATCTTAACCTCACTGGGCGATTTTGCTGGATGATACTCTCATGACATGCCTTGGAGTGTTTTTCTACTTTAAGGTACTTTATAATATCCAATTCCTAGTTGAGTGACAGGCAAATGACCGTTCATTTCCAAGTGAAGAAAGGCTTACCTCTGAATTTGAATGAAAGAGTCATCAACTTCTTGGGTATCAGTACTGACAAGAAGTTTAACCTATTTTTTCTAATCGGGTGTTATTACACACCTCCTGGAGCAGGTGAAGCTTGAAGCTGGGCCCCTCATTCCAGCGATAGGGATACGCCCCCTGTGTTACGAGGGCAAACTAGTAATATCAACAATGTGTCTACAATAGCAGCATTGATACTCCATAGGCTGCATTGAGTGGTTCACCTCAGAGTCTTCGTCAGTCAGACACAAAAGTCTGAACTGCTCATCATCAACTTGAATGGGTGAAACCGAACAATGTCATAGCGCTGTCATTTCAAAGCTGATATTTGCTTAGTGTTCTTGCTGTTGGAGTCAATATTCGTCACCTTGGTCACCAAAGCGCACTGTTCTGAAAGTGTACTGCATCAAATCACTAAGCTTCTTTGAGCAACATCTCTCATCCCTGAAGACTTCAATGCAGAGAAGGACTTAATTGTGATATCTTGGATGCCAGTGTCTCCCAATTCTCCATTAAAGTCATGTATTTTCCTGATTTGGCATGCATGGCCAGTCCATGCTACTGCAGCGTCTGTATACTCTAATTCCCTATCTTGGACTGTTTAGCACCTTCAACATCAGAGCATAAGAACACAGCCCAGCATCAGTTCTGTGCGTTACATAGGGATGGGCAGTAAATGTGGACTTGCCAAGGTCACCAATATCTTGAGACCAAATAACAAAATACTTGCAATGTGCGGAAAACAGATAATTTCAAAGATCCTTAATTCAAAAATACTTGATTATATTTTTTGCATCAAATATCTACATTGTGGTGTTTACTTAACCAATAATTTGCTTTGTGTAGTTAATGGAAAAAGCAGCTTTGAATTATCAGAGTAGACTATCCTTTTGTTATTGGGAATTCTGAATGTTTTTAGTTGACATTGAACACTTCAGAAGTTTTTCCAGTGAGCAAGTCTTAAAGCTGTATTATAAACTTTTGGAGCAACAAGTATCAAACAGAATTTAAAAAAAAAAAAAATTACTGGTAGTGCTCAGCAGATCTGACGGCATTTTTGGAGAGACCAACGAGTTAGTATTTTAGGTCATGACCTTTCATAAAACTCTGACCGTAAAATCGAAGTTTTTTTTTAAAATGTACATGTTCACACAACCAAAAGCTACTGTTTTGAGTTGAGATACTGTTTGAAGTTCAGAGTCAAATTATCCTAAATGTTGACCTGCAATTTATGGGATTCACAATGAATGGGAATAATGTTGCTTGAGTAGGTTCAGCAAAGTCCACTTAAAGGAATCACTTCTGCAGAGAATATTTGTGAGATCTGCTGTACTTAATTAAAAAAAAAATTCAAATAAACTTTATTACTTTCTAGTATAGAAGTTAAATATTAGGTGCTGAAAGGCATCCACCTGTTGGCAATAATGAATGCACGAGTGGATGTATTCATTTCCAAATGCTTAGCCAAAAGCATCTGCACTGACTTCTATTTTCAGACCAGCTTCAGGTATGATGGCAGTTTCCAGCAGGAAGATGTTCTTGTGTTTTTAAAATGACTGAATTTGTTACAAGCACTATGATCACTCCTGAATTTCCATTTTGGCCTGATATATATTATAATCTTTGCTCTTATTGTGTGCATATGTGAGGAAACTACAGCTTTCTTTATATTTTTTGGCTAATTTCTCTGTGCTGTGGCGAATTAAAGAATCATTGAGCAGGCTTCTTAATCAGATTGCAGTTTCTTTCTTGCATCCCTGTAAATAATGCAATTGATTGCTTAGGTTTCTCTAATTTTACTTGGGCTGTTAGATAGCTCCTTGTTTTGTTTTCAGTCTGATAATCAAATTAATGGTCTTGATCAGTTATTTCTTTAAGCTTGTTTTTTTTAAATATATAGGATTGTTAATTTAATTATAGTGAGAATATGAGAGAGAGAGAATCCATTGATTTATATATGGAGTTAAATAGAATTGCTAAGTTATTGAACTATTCTGAAATTTGTGAGCCATGTTCCTTGCATGATTTACAGTAGAATTTTAATTGAAAGGTATGCTTGTTCAGTTTACGCTCTTCACCTTGTAGCTGTGAAAAGTAATTATCTTCACACATCATTCATAGAATTTTTTAAATATAAGAACAATTGAATCAGTCAAGATTTAAAACTGTAAGTTGTTGTTTTATCTCCCTCCATGTATGTATCACTTAAAGCAAATTTTTGAAATATTCTTTTTACAAGTAATTGACCTCAACATAGATGTTTTATGATCCAGTCTTTTTTGAGAAATGTGTTTTGAATGCATAGAATCTGTATTACTAGTGGTTTCAAAATTTTGAAAGTGCTTATCTTCAGACACTGAACTTGTGGAGCAAGAAACTTTGTCAGTTCTGTTGAGAATTCGCTTTTGCTGTGTGTTCTATTTAGCAGTTGTAAAGCAAGTTATTCTGTTGGTTCAACACCAAAGAAAAATAATGTGTATGATAAATGACATATTGCATCAGATCAATTTAAAAATGCATTATTGGCAGCAAAAAAGATCATTGATTTCATAACTGGAAAATGTATTGCTTAGTCTTGTAGATCATTGTGAGCAAGGCTGAATAATCATGTTGTATACTACTATTGATGCATGGTACTTGATTTTATTCTAGTTACCTTGAAGCTTATGAGAAAGTACATCACTTTGGGGAAGATGATGACGAGGTTAGTTCAGGGAATCAACGGGGACCAGTTCCTGTAGGTGGAGTACCTTCTTCATACAGTTACCAGCAGCATATATTGTCAGGTAAGTAGTCATTACATTCTATTACTTGTCCAGTGAGTCTGCCAAAAATCTGAAATATGATGACTGTGACTGTCTATGTTCCAATTTAGAACATCATTGAAACTTTTTGGAAGCATATTTGAAGCTGGGGTAGAAGTTTTTGAACTGGTCATCCTTTGTATAGTTAAAATATTAAAATCAAAACAAAGAGAAATAGAATATTTCCAATTAAACTTCATGAAATTGAATTTTACTTTTTGTGGAGTTCCCATATCAGTTACAAAACGTAAAGAGCAAATGCTCAAGGAGCAATGATAAAATATTTTTATTAACCCAAGCTTTATCTTCTACAAGAAGGAAAAATACAGACTAATTATTTTGCAATGACAAGTAATGTATTAGTTTATTTGCACATCATCCTTCTGACTCTCGTTTTATACTACAAAGATTTGGATAAACATCAAGAGAACGGAATGGTGTCATTTGCCTATCTAAGCAGTTTTGACGTGATTTATCATAAGGCATTTTATTTCTGATAATTAGTCATTCAATATAATAGCACCAATAATTGTAGTTAGTTATACTTTTTTGGCAGTTCCTCTGACTTGTTTCCATTCTGGGCATAGTAGGAGGAGATGCGGGTGAAGATAGGTTTTACAATGGCTGAACAGTCTAATCCTTGCACTGCTGACTCTGCCACAAGTGGGGCAGGTAGTGGGTGGGATGCTCTGGATTTCGAATGGTCTTTCTGCTGCTTGTGGCTGACCTCCATATGCTCCATTTGGTGACATTCAAAGCGGATTGCATTTTTGCGCAACGTTTCCCTTCAGTTTGAGATTCCCATATGCTAGCATGTTGTATTTAATTAGGGAGGCTTTCAGACTGTCCTTGTAGCATTTCTGCTGACCTAGCAATGATTACCATTGCAGAACTTGGAGTACAGCATTCGTTGAGGGAATTTTGCGTTGGATACGCAGGCAACGTGGTCCCCCATCACAGCAGAGCTGGTCATGTATGACCAGTGCCTGAATACTGGGAATATCAGCCTGAGAGAGGATGCTGACATTTAATATGCCTATCCTGCTTGTGGAGTTACAGGATTTTGTGAAGGCAGCACTCTTGATTGATTTCCAGTGATTTGAGGTGTGTGCCGAATATGGTCCCTATTTCTGTTGTCTACAGGGTGGTGGGGACCATGACTGCTCTGATGAATATGAGCTTGGTTCTGGGTGTGAAGTCTCAGATCTTGAACCCTCTGTTCCTCGGGTGTCTAAAAGCTGCTCTGGTGCATTGGAGTCAATGTTGGATTTTATCAATGTCCGTTCTCACCAAGCGGAAGCTCTTGAGGTACGGGAAATGATGATTCACGTTGACTAGGGGCCAACTTTTTTTTTGTGGGGAGAGGTTGATGGTGGGAGTTGGGGGTGTTGTTGTATTATGGCAGGAGTGGGTTGGGAGAGGACCTTTTATTTTCTGGATGTTTAGTCTAGGGCCTGTTCTCTCTTTGGTGAATGCGGCGATGATGGTTTGTAGTTCCACTTAAAGTGTGCATGCACACAGCTGCATCATGCAGGTCAATGACAGAAGTTGGGGTGGTCTTGGTCAAAGGTTGAATAGCTTCCTGCTTGTCCTGCAGGTTGGCTGCACTCCAACAGGGGGATTGGAGGGTTCAAGGTCCTCATACAGATGAGGTAATGTTGTGCTGACGAAGATGGGGGGAAAAGTGTTGGTGTGATGATGCATCCCTGCTTGACCCAGTTTTCACTTGGTTCTGTGGTGGTTTTGTTAATGAGGATCATGGTTTGCATGTCATCATGAAGAAGATGAAGAATGGTGACAAATTTCTGCAGACAGCTTAATTTGAGGACAATGTTCCACAGTTGCTGTTGACAAAGAGTCAAAGGCTTTTGTGAGATCAAAGGTCATGTAGAGAAGTTGGTGCTGGCCATGAGCAGAAGGCTTTTTCTAACATTTATGCTGAAAATCATATCCATTGTCTTTTGTTGAGCGGAAGCCACATTAAGACTCAGGTGGAGCTGTTCAGCCCCTGAGAGGAGGCAGTTGGGGAGGATTCTCGTGATGAGCTTTCCTGTGGGAAAAGTCAGGAATTGCCTGTTGTTCATACAGTTGGACCTGCCTCTGCTCTTGAAGATGGTCACAATTACAGTGTGCCTGAGTTCTCCAGGCACACTCCCTTCCTTCCAGGCACACTCCCTTCCTTCCAGACAAGGGCGTTGAGGTCATGGATTTGTATTAAAAGTGTCTTTGCCATATTTTGATATTTAAGCAGGAATTGGATTCAAAGAGTCAGACAGCGCGGAACAGACCCTTCGGCCCAACATGTTCATGCTGTCCAAGTTTCCCAAACTAAACTAGTCAACTTGCCTCTGTTTGGAGCATACCCCTCTGAACCTTACCTATCCAAATGCTTTTTAAATGTTGTAACTGTACCTGCATCTACCACTTCCTCTGGCAGGTCATTTCACATATGAAATTTCACCCTCTGCATGAAAAAGGTGCCTTGCAGGCCACTTTTAATCTTTCCCCTCTCACCTTGAAAAATGCCCCTTAGTTTTGAATTCATCCATCCTAAGGAAAAGACCTTAGCTATTCACCTTATCTATGCATGTCATGATTTTATAAACCTCAATAAGGTCACCTCTCGACCTCCTACACTCCAGTGAAAAAAAGTCCCAGCCCATCCTTATAACTCAAACCCTCCAGTCCTGGCAACATTCTGGTGACTTAAGGTTCTTGCGAAGATTTGTAGCTTGCTATCTGGGTGAGGTTGTTGACTTGCTCGCCGAGCTGGCTGGTTGTAGTTCAGATGTTTTGTCGCCATGCTAGGTAACATCAGTGCGACCTCAGATGAAGGTATGTAGTTCTACTCTGCTTCGTATTTATATGAACTGGTCTGTTGAGGTGTTTTGTGTCATTTCTGGTTCCTTTTTGCAAGGGTTTGTATATGCGTTCAACCAATAAACATGTAGAATTAGACCATCAGAGGCTGCACTGATGATGTTACCTAGCATGGTGACGAAACGTCTGAACTACAACTAGCCAGCTCGACGAGCAAGTCAACAACCTCAACATTCTGGTGAATCTTTTATGAACCGTCTCCAATTTAATAATATCCTTCCTATAGTAGGGTGATCAGATCTGTATGCAGTACTCCAAAAGTGGCCTCACCAACATCCTGTACAATCTCAACATAATGTCCCAACTGCTTTACTTAAAGGTCTGAGCAATGAAGGCAAATGTGCAAAATGCTTCTTAACCACCCTGTCTACCTGTGATGCAACTTTCAAAGAACTATGTAGCTGAACTCCTAGGTCTTTCTGTTGGATAACACTACCAAGGGACTTACCGTTAACTGTATAAGTCCTGCCCTTGTGTTTTTTTTAACCAAAAATGCAATAGCTGACATTCATCCAAATTAAGCTCCCATCTGCCAAGCCTAAGCCCATGGCCCAATTGATCAAGATCCCCTTGTAATCTTAGATAACCTTCTTCACTTTATCTGTGCCAGAGACCTTATGGTGCTTCAGCTGTTGAATAGCCTTTCCAACTTGACAGTGAGTCGGATATGTGCTGAGATGGCGACGGGTAGTGTGTTGTGGAATGGTGTCGAGTGCGCTTGGGCAAACGCAGCATCTTGGTTGAGGATTTCCACGAAATGAACTTTCCAGTAGATATTGACTGCCTTTCTGTCATTGAGCAGCTCTGCTTTTGACCCTCCAGTGGAGTAGTCCCTGGGTACTCAGACCACAGTTGGCTTTGATTGTGCTGAAGAAGCCATGCACATCATGGTTGTTGGTTTGTTGCTGAGTCTCCTGTATTCTTTCCACCCACCATCTTTCTATATGGGTTCTTTGTTGCACCTCAGCCTTCAGCTGCCTGTAGACCTGTTTGCACTCACTGGAGTTTTGGTGGAGCTGCTAGTTCAGAGATATCTTACATTTGCAGTCTTGGAGAGCCTTGAGTTCCTGATTTTCTTTTCAAACCGGTCTAGGTGTTTCCTGTTTGAGAGGCCAGTCATCTCCATGCAGGTGCTGACTAGAGTGCTTTTAGGGTGGACCAGGCGCTTAGGCGTTCTGCAACTCTGGCACATTGCTCATCGCCAGGATGACTAAGAGATGATGGCTGAATAAGTTTTTCTTCTCCGGGTATGGCAACATTGAGTGTCCTGTGGTGAAACTTTTCTGCCTCTGCCGGTTTGGGGTCAGGTCAATGGAGATGGTAGCGTGGATTAATCAGTTTGTTGGTGCCTTGTTTGACCTAACACCTGAGGCAGCCTAGCTGCCTGACCTGACCGTGCTACATTCCAGTAGTCTTTAACTCTCAATCAATTATTACAGCAAAAATGAAAGTATATATACTGAAATTCTCTTGCAGTGATTTTATATAAAATTTGTGGAGACTAGCAAAGCACTACATTAATCCAAGCTTTCAGAAGGGCAGTTGGAGTAAAGGGAGAAAATAATTGACAAGACTATTTGGTGGAAAGAGAGCAACTAAATTCATGACTAGAAAAACTGCATATGGGGTCCATTGTCTTGTATTTTAAGTTCATGCAAACAACATAGAGCTTTATTGATTACCAGAAATTTACTTTCACTCATTTGTTTTAAAACTTGTCATCCACCATGTATCTTTTCATGCAGCAATGTAAAACCAAATAAAATTGGAATCAGTTTATTTATATTTAAACTCAAGTTGAGTTAACATATGCATTATCTGTGAGAAATTAATATTCTACAGCAGTATTTTTTCACAGCTGCAATTTGACCTTTTTGGTTAGACTAAAATTCAGCTTCAGCAACATATGCTATTTATGACTCAAACTACATTCACTAACGTAGTTGTTATTTCACAAACTCTGGCTAACATTATGCATGCAAACACGTCAGTGAATCAGTGAAAATTAACAGTTTAGATCAGTTAGTTAGATCACTTGTTTTTAAACAAGTCCCTGTAGTAAAAGGTTATTGCTGCTTCTTCAGTTTCAGTGGTAGTTTTGC